CCGTAAACCTCTGACTATAAGCCCAGGGCTTATATTCTTTTATAAGTGATTTTTGATGGGCTTATACAAGGGAGGGGGACTTATATACAGGAGCCTTATACATGGACGATCTTTTGTGTTAGTACTAAACAAGCTAGTCAGTCATAAACAGGAAAATAAACATGTATTAATAACACACTTTGATTAACATAGTAAGCTATAAAGACAATGACAATGTTTTTAAATATCGTTCTCTGCTATATTAAAAGACAATGTCAATGTTGAGTAACATAGTGGGCTACTGGGCTTGTTATATTCAGGGGACTTATGTTTTTTTTTTGGGGGGGGGCTTATATTTGGAATGAGGTGAGCATTATATTCAGAGGTTTACAGTATACAGTTGAAAAAAGCTTGTATTTTCTTGTCATAGACACACATTTCTGAGTGCATATATAGAACAGCTTATACGTCGAGTTCTCATGTCGATCCAATGGTAATTTGATATCTCTGCCGTCACCATAGTATAGTGTAGCACAGAATGGCCTTCACCTTGTATCATGCATGCAGAAATGCCTTTGTCATTCAGTTTAGCCACTTGATCTTGCATCAGTTAGTGCATTTAGTGGAGATATGACTGTCACAATAGAATTAGTTACACCAAGTAACATGTTGTACACGTCAGGTAGCAGCTGAAATATTTTAATATTTGCCAAAATAAGCCCATAACCTGTTGGCAAAACGACCAAAACATCTTCACCATTTTACAATGGCCGAGATACATAATTTTGAATGCCTCATCTTATAACGAATATTCAAGCCCTCTTTTCGCTAGAGCAGCTTTAATAGCTCCTTCAGTATTTGCCATTGAATATAATTTAACAGTAGTGTGATTTAAAGCACCTTTAAACGTATAAAAAACTATTTTGTATCCTATATTCTGATGAGAATCTGTTCGAACAAATATATCGATTGTGAGCATGTGCCCGCGCGAATTTAGTAAGCGGAATAAACATAAGCAATAAAAGCTCATGCACCATTTATCTCATTTTGGATAAAAAATTCGATTTCCCCAGGGTCATGCCACTACCTAACCCGTGAACAGGTATACTCTGGGAACGAGATTGCAGCTAAAGTTGGTATAATTAGAATGATAGAACAGTAACAGCTGCCAAAACTGACTGTAAAACAAACAATTTGGTGGGATTGGAATCCTCAAGTACGGTTGCCAACTATATATAAGTCCAAACATTTGTTTAGCTGAACTGTTACACTTTTGTAAAAGAGAGGGATAATTTTTTCCACGCATGGCAGAGACATGTTTATTTCAAAAGATGGTGCACCTTGCCACAGAACAAGCATCAAATATTAATTACTTGGTTTGAAGTAAAGAGGGATGAAAAAGCCACGACCTTCACTTCATAAAGCATTTTCGCGGAGTGAATAGAAAGTCATTTGCTTGCTGAATTATGCTAAATAAACTAAGCCTTTTCACTATAGCTTCAAGGCGTGATCTATGCAAACATGTAAAAATGCTCAGAAAATTAAAGTGATCTGAAACTTTTGTGCAAAGCTGTATCGAATAATACTACTTTAAAGATTGATATCCTTTGTTTGTAAGTGCACTATGGTTAACGAACAGGAATCTGTTCAGTATCTATCTGCGAGCGCCGTGTAATAAATGTTATTTTATACATTTCCAGGTAGAAAACCTAGCAATATTCTTTAAGGAGATCAACCAAACCTTATCACTCATGAGGTATGATATTATTGCACTTGTCCTACCTTTCAGTTTCACCTATTGTATGCATAGTCAATATACTGTACACTCATGCAGAGTTAAGTTCTTGTATTTAGCAGATTATATCCATATTTCTTTACTACAATAACAAGAATAAGGGGAGGGGGTGGGGCATATCGTCACTCAATGAGGAAATTTATGAGAAGTATTCAAGTGCAGTATGCTGGTTTTGAAATCGATGTTGTACGGAGAATAAGTGGGGCATTCTGCCTTGTTTTCATGTATGAGATGATTTCAAAAATCGATCTTACCCGGGGAAAATTGGAGATTGCGTCACCATAAGAGGTATGTGATGAACGTTATTAATTTTGGTCTGACGTTTGATGCACTGTTTTTCTGAAAATCAATCTTTTGTAAAGACTAATATGTGAAATGTTTAAGCCTCACACATACTTATCAATTGGATCAGCTTTATATAGACCGCGAGCAGTCCCACGGCAGAAAGGTGGACTGCCGACAACACATCAAGAAACGAAATACACCATGCCCACACAACGCAAAATTCCCATTGGTCGAAATCGATGTGCCTGTCAATCAAATCTGATACGTAGTAGTTATGCTATAAATAATTTCCCAACTGAATGTTGATTTTATAAATACACATGACATTACGGTTTCTATTGGATAGATTTAATTGGATATAAGTAATGTTTATGCAAAGGCGGAGCTAAGTTGACAAGAGCGAAAAGAAGGCGTATTTCGTTTCTTGATGTGTTGTCGGCAGTCCTTCCTTTCCCTTCGCACGTCTGGGAAGCTAAACTCGTAGAAAGGAGGGACCGCTCGCAGTCTAACTTTATAAATCGACATGTTCGCCGTTCCTCAGCAGTGGCTTGCAAACAACTTTTTAACCATTTCGCTAGTCATTATGCAAAAACCCATATACATTTCCAACCGAGCTTAGACTCTTTTCGCCTTCACCGGTGCATTATCAGTCAGTATCTGCATACCAGCGAAATCGTGAACAAGAAACAAACACTATAACAGTGAGACAATAACAGTGTTGTCATGTGGCAGAGAATTGAACATGCAAAACAAATTTTACTTGGTGTCAACGTCTACTAATTGATCGCACATTAACTGATATAGTTGCGTCGTTTCCAATATTTACGAACATTCCAGCATGTTCGAGGAGTAAACAAGTTTACCAATTAATTGAAAAGCATTTTATTGGTGATAGCAGGCTCACAATTTCCCCAATGTACTGAGCTGATTAAAATTGCAGCAGAAAAGTAGAACAATCATAGTCATGACTCTTTTTCGATTGTTCGCCGGTAGAGCTTCTAGGAATGTAAGGTTCTTCGCGTAATGACTATGGCCTGCGTTTTTGAAATGGTGGTAAGCTGTCTGGAAAGCAGTGGTGAAGACCAACGACCGTTTGGTTATAAAACTGACCCAACTGATAAGAAATTGCGAGCTGAAATAGATATCCATGTCTTCAATCGTTAAACGAGGTTCGACCATGCAGAGGTGTTCGGAGGGATATATAAGAAGAATCGGACACAAATCAGTATGTATCTCCTATAATGAACAGTCAGAAAGACCATGAGTGGGATGAAGATCTGACTGTAGCATATTCCTCGGTCTCGCGTAACTATAGGGGGTCTGGGGCTGCTTCCCGGAAATTTTTTAAAATTTGAACCCCGGAAATGCCATTTCCTGCGTTCTGAGCATCGGATTCTGTCCTGAAATTTGGTCCCCCGCCACAACAACTGAAGAACGTACTTGAGGTGTGCGACCATTTCGGAGTCAACGGTTTCGAAATTTGGTTATAAATATATTACAGTCAGCACTTCCTTTCATAAATTTACTCGACGGGTGACGCTATAATGATAAATATAAGTACAACAATTGGTTCATTCTCAGCTGCGAAGATCCATAATGATTACTTTCTTGCAAGAATTAACCAATTGAAATTGATGGCGGCAGATTTATTTTGTGATATCATTTCAATACCAAAATACAGCATCACTGAACAGGTTTGACAGTCATCGAGTAAATAGTTACGATGTTTTAGGTAGTTCTGTCCATATCTTCGAAAGTAGAAAATAACGTTTCGTTCGAAAAATTTATTGCTACCCGCGCTAGCCTCAGACCTACAATCATGGACAAAAGTGTTAATAAAATCGATCGACATTTTAGGAAAATACAATCAAATAACTTCATACAGGTCCCCCCTCTCTCACCCAATGTTGCCATAATTTTCCTCTCATTTTCAACGTAGTTCAACAACATTGTGTTGGGGAAGGGGGGGAGGGATGTTTTAGACAAAATACAGGAATCAAACTACAATTTAAACTCTCACAGAGGCAAATTAAAATTTTATTAACAAGTTATGTCCACGATTGAGATTGTTTTAGGTCAAACGGTGTTTTATAGATTTAAAATGGATTGCTCTTTGGTTTATTCCCTTAGGGTTACATAAACATATGATACGCGATATTGATTGTCCCAATCACTTTGCGCGAGTAGCGATTGTAGTGTAATGTAAATAATGCGCACGAAAACTTGTGCCTCTGACACGTACAGGGTGCACGGCAATCGCACATTTTTTGTGTTTTGAACCGTATTTAATAGTAACTTTATATTAGCGACGACTTTAAGAGTAATTTACCGATAAAACTGACATAGAAGTCCAAAACCGCTGGGAATTTGCAGTATAGGGCATATTAATATTTTGTCGTAATTCCGTGGCCTTTTTGTACTGCGTTGTACACTAAACTTGTAAGGGGAGTTTATAGGCACTTAAATATGCAAAATAAACATTTTCAACGTATAGTAGCAGATTATTAGCTTGAATAGGATAACGTAAATGACTGTGTAGCAAAATATCAGCACGAACGCTTGAATGCAATTTGCATATGCCTCAATAATTAACAATGCAACGCTTTACCAGACGGTTGACCATGGATATAAATGTTAGAAATTATTGGAGGCAACGTTATTGGACGATAAATTTTGTAGTTTCTCTATTTATTAGACATGAATGAACTTTCTTTTAATTGTTTATAACGTAATTATGGTTACCATTTGCTTATTTGGGCTTTTAAGCACGGTTCACCATAATATTGATAAAATATTTGATGTCTTTAATAGCTTTTAAAACAATACGTTAACCGTAGTTGAACATCGTATTTCTGCACAATTCGCAGTTGTGATAACTTAATCTTCTCTGATACAGTCCTACATTTTCTGGAAATGTCAAAAATGCTACAATGTCTACACAAGTATGCCAGCAAACATAACATTTCTCATTATTGTCGGTGGTTAACCGTCACGGTTAACCATGGTTAATAAAATTTTAATTTGCCTCTCTGAGAGTTTAAATTCTAGTTTGATTCGAATTCCTGTATTTTGTCTAAAACATCCCCCTCCTTCCCCCAACACAATGTTGTTGAACTACGTTGAAAATGAGAGGAAAATTATGGCAAAATTGGGTGGGGGAGAGGGGGGACCTGTATGAAGTTATTTGATCGTATTTTCCTAAAATGTCGATCGAATTTATTAACATATTTGTCCATGATTGTCTCCAATAAATGGCAGTTTTCCCAGTTAAAATGCAATCATCTGCCGAGGGCTTTACGGTTCACAATGTATATTCGTTTCAACCGAGATTTTTAAGCTTCAAAACGAGACAAAAAACATTATTTTTTGGACTACATGTGCTTGTTCAACAAAAAAACGCTGATCAACACTATATCTTAATTTAACCAGATAGATTTGCAAGTGCTTTTGCTGCAACCAACATGCATGTGCAGTACATAAACTTAGAGTTTGGAAAAGGCTTAGTGAAAACATGCATTAGACAAATTAATTGTGCATCTTCTGCTCTTGCTAACTGTACAGTTCGTATTAAATAACTTTATATCTACCTCCGGTTTCACGTCACGCTGAACGGTTAACAAGTTATGTCCACGATTGTAGCTCTTCAACTCTTGTTTGACCACCCATTCTTAAGCCGTAAAATGTCATTATAGAAATTTGTCTTGTAATTTTTGCATAACTACATATGTTTTCCTGCATTGTTTCAGCCCTAAAAATTTTCCAAAGGAACGACAGCAAGAGACCTTGGTTTTACTTAATAATCTGGTGTACCTTGTTAAGGATGTAAAACAACATCTTAAACTTAATCAAGTCGAAGTCCTTTCTCGCTTGGTCGAGTGCTTAATTAGTATTATTGTACTGCAAAAGAAAGGAATTGATCTTGAAGATGAATCTGGAAATGAAAATGAATCCGATGAGAACCTTTCCACACCCTTCCAATTGGCAGATATTCCACACGAAATGTCATCTCTTTTCGAAAAGCAGTGTGAGTTTGTCGAAAACTTTGTGAATACGAAGCTTTCTAGTTTCCTTGAAAATAGTGACGTTACAGATTGGAAGCAGGAACTGCAGGTAAGTACAGTAGAAATACCCGAACTGGTTTGCCTTCTTCATCTTAATACAGGGATATATTATTTTATTTCTTGAACTAATTTTAACGAATTTGCCGTTGTAGCAGAGTAATAACGACGTGTGTCTTGTAATTTTATGTCTTTTATCATTTTATGTCTCTTGTAATTTTATGTATTTTAAATAAATTTTCATACATGCACCTTGTCAATATTTTACGCATCATTACGTTCAGCTTTTTGGTAGGGCATTCAATTTTAACAATACGTAATTTCAATAGTTTTCGGGTTTTTTGGGACACCCTGTATAATGCTCGTGTGCACCAGAATCCATTGCTGTCTGACGATCGGTAATACGTGAAACTTAAGTAGCAGCACATTAAATTTTTAATTTTTTTTATTTTTTATTTTTTCATTTTGAACAATATATTAAGCTCTGCGAATTTTCCGCATTGAGCACTGTACTTGTTTTGGCTCTAACAACCAAGCAAATTATATATATATATATATATATATATATATATATATATATATATATATATATATATATATATATATATATATATATATATATATATATATATATATATATATATATATATATATATATATATATGCCTGAACGTATTCCTCGAAAAAGTTTGTGATCACCTTTTCCCTTGCATGTTTTGACTATTTTTTATGAAAAGTATTATTGCAAGTCCTTTGATATTTTGGCATTTTTGTATTTAACAGTGTTTTAGCAGTTATTAGTTTCGCAGAGAAAAAATAACTTTTTAGGGGAAAAGGCGCGAGATTTTCCCCGCCAAAAAACATGTAAGTGTAAATGGAACTATCTCAACTTTATTTTTCACCCTGCTCGGTTTCCTTTGTTCTTATCGGGGAATATATTCAATATTCCCCTCTAATCAATTTCCGTTTAATAATCCCCTCTAATATTCATCTGCAATGTCTTTGCAGCACAAAAAATGAGAAAAAAACAACATAACGAAGGCAATATGGCATTAAGAATTATTTATTTCTATTCTGACTCATTAACGCGACCTCGCAATGTGAAAAATAAGTACGTTATTTTGAGGCAACGAGGGGATATGTGATTTATTCATTCGGACAAAATACATTTAAATATATATTAGAATCGTTCATTTTTTTGTCCAGATATTTGAGAACTTTAAGATTACATTTAGTCCTTCATAATTATAATGTCTATACTGCTATTTTTGAATTTGTAAAGAACACAGAGACCGAGTATTTCATCAAATAATACTGGGGAAGGTGAGAGTCTGCTATTTTACGCGCGTCGAAACACTGTTATTCAAACATAAATATTTCGCGTTCTAGATCAAATTTAAAAAATCCCCCTAGGAAATTAAAGAAGAAAGCATGCTTTATCAGAATTTGTCAGTTTCGGAGTAAAAAGTTTAATATGGAATGGCACAGAGGGCGTAGAACAAGGTGTTATTTTCTCACTCCTTTTGTTTATTTTGAGCATTCTGATTGGTCAGGGACGCAAAATGTAAACAAAGGCGCTGATTGGCTAACGTTATTTACCCACATATTGGTTGTATTTGAAAATGAAAATCCAGCAACAAGCTTCAAAATATTACAAAAACTCCGAAAATTATTCCACAATTTCAATATTATTGACAAACTTAGAGCATTAAAACACTGAGAATACTATAAAAAATATATTCTGTATAATAAAATCAAAGGTTTCACGAGGTTTTTGTGTGCAAAAAAGGTTTTTTACTTTTCGCCGTTTGGCAAACCGACCAAAATTTATGAAAGAGTGAACTTAAAAGTCCTCAAAGATCCAAATAAGTATGCTCTAAGATCCAAATATTTGCTCATTGAAAGAGTATTTTTGCGACGAAAAAAATGAGACTTGACATTCCGATTTCTTTTTAATAAAAACCTGTCGAACAAGGCCAATTTGATTAGAATGTGTGGACAGGTAAAATGGCAAGTGTGAAACGGCAAAGTGAAATTCCGAAACTGGAACATTTTACCACCAAAACTTGGCGGCCACTGGCTTCAATCATTTGGTTAGTGCCAACCTCGTTCCCAGGGCTTTTTAGTTCTGCCCCGGGGAGAGAAGAAAGCCCTTGTCCGGCCTGGCCACGTGATCCCAAATTGCCACTATTTGGACAATTTTATTATGCGTTATGCATGTGTTTAGTTCTAATTTATGCGCAAAAGAAAGTAAATTAGGAGTCAATTTTCGAGGAGTTTATTATATAAAGGCAATTAGCAGAACCTTTATGAGAGATCATATACGGATTTTTGGGTTATTTAGTACAACTGAAAAAAATGTTACGCGTAGACAATTTTATTTATTTGCAATATATCTCAATATTTTATCGGCATGCATGGTGAAAATTCTACGCGATATGTTTAAACGTATGCACCATGTGATGAACAACGCCCGTTTCCGGAGTTTCAATTTAAAATCAAATTTATTGCTTAGAATCACTTTTATTGAAACAAGATGTGATCGCTGTTTCCCCAGTACCGGTTGTTACTGCAGAGCAACGAATATTTGAAAGGTTATGGCTAATTTGAAAGGGTGTACTTCTTTTTTTATACGTACATCTTGTATTGTGTATGTATTGTTATCAACGTATTGTTATCAATATGAAAAAAAGTCACTTCGAAGATTTTCTTAGCCTGTGCACATCCTGTATTACCCTGTACTACAATCTGTGAAAACTCACGCGATTGCTTGTCGAGCTACTCAGATCTGAGTAGTAGACTGTCATTGGCTAAAGATAATTAAATTATTTTGATTGCCTACGATTGGTTAATTTCTCATCACTAGTAAAACCTGTTTTTCCAATCAACATAAAATTAATAAGACCACTTAATTTCAACGCGCGAAATTGATTTGTTCTTCAAAATTTCCTATACTCGCTGCTCCAAGACAAGGTAAATTTTATATATTTTTAATCCTCGAGAAATAAGCTATCGGAAAATGTTTAAATCAAGTTTATACGATCAGAAATTTAGAAGTTAGGAGTCAATTTGGCAGCCGCTTGACTAAAATTTAATTGTTTACAACATGAAAATAACATTACAAATCTTATGTAAGCTCATCCATTTTTTGTTGTAGAGACTTTGTTTACTTATCTTTCGAAAGAAAATCTTCTACGGATTTCAAAAATATATAACGTGTCTCGTGTTAAGATAGAAAATAATTTTTAAATGAAGAAAAGTGAATGGACTTTGCACGTCAGTCGAGACATATTAAATATTTAGTTTAGAATGTAAGCATCAAATTTCGTCGGGAAATTTGGTGAAAACTTGCTCAAACCTTTACATACTTTATATAATCTGTATCGCTATACAACTAGGAGTTTAAAAATGTTTGAATGAAGTACATTGGTTGAGTATTTTAAAAATTATGCAAAGTTTTGTACTGTTGCGCTATATTTACATGCATGCATGCTGTCATATATGTATTAAAATATTTTGAAATTCTCAGTACAAAACTTTAGATAATTTTTAAAATACTCAACCAATATACTTCATCCAAACATTTTTAAATTCCTGGTTGTATAGCGATACAGATTATATAAAGTATGTAAAGGTTTGAGCCTCAACTTTAAGCAAGTTTTCACCAAATTTCC